GGTGTGTTTGGCGGTAGATTTGAAAGCTCACATTTTATCTTATATTTTCCTAAATAGACTGTGTTATCATATTGGTTAAGAGCACCAGATTGCATTTTTATCAATGTTTTGCATTTATGTGAAGATATCAGTGTTTAAATTTTCTGTTTGTGGCTGGACTGGAAAGGAAAGCCAATATTTACATTTGAGCATAGACTGTACTGTATGTTTTAAATGCATTTATTGTGTTGCTTAAGTGCTCCGTGTTTGCATTTTTTATCAATGCTTTGTATTTGTACGCACTGCTTTTAAAAGTATGAGAGTTTAAAAATTCTAACTGCAATTAGGCTTAACAAAGAGGACAATGTTTACAGTTAAGCAAGTTGGAGTGAAAGTGAATTTGGTCACTTAGTTTTGCATTTGACTTTTTTCCTTGAGAGTGTTTTCAGCGTAATCTGCCTGCTCGGCAAATTTTTGAAAATTAGCTGAAATTAACTCCAGAAGTGATTTTTCGTGTTTTGAGTTATTTACACTCCATGTGAGTACTGAACTTTGTATTTTTATACTTGTGCAGTTGTGAACATTTTGTTGGTGTGTATGTACTTTTAAGAAATTATGTGCTAGATTTTATTGTTATTGTTTATTGCATTTCACCACAGCAAATTTATTTTGCAAGTGGTTAATACATAAAATGGGTTCTAAAAATGGTGAAATTCTTCAAGCGGTTGTGAATAAGAATAATGTTACTAGTGATCAAAGTGATTTGAATGATGTAATACCTCAAAGAGATGTAATAGTGCAAAATGAAAACTTAGAATTAAGAATCTTGAAAAAAGAAAAAAAAAAAAAAAAAAAAAAAACTGCCTCTTCTGATGGGTTGACTGTAGTTAAGGAGCTTTATAATTTCATGCAGAGGATAGCTGATCTTAAAAAAGGTATGAAAAAAAAAAAACAATTTTGGATGGAATAATTGCAGCACTTGATAGGATTTTTGTTATTGCAATGACGCAAAGTGCAAATATGAGTGAAGCTGATATTATTAAAAGCAGATGTGACGAATTGAAGAATATTAAGAAAGATGTGGGTGAAATTAAAGATCTACTTAAAAATAAAGGGAATGGAAGAGATAATGTTAAACTGGATAAGAATGATGAAAAGAAAAAAAAATTAGAAAATAAAGGAAATGTAGCAGTCTTGAAACCTAGTGCTACTGATATGGATATTTTTGATGAGTAATCTTCCTATTTACAACCACAGGATGTGAATATCAAAGTTTTAAACTCTTATTATAAGAAAAATAGAGATTTTGTTATAGGGATTAAGGATAAGAATGACACAAAGAAACTTGTAAGGCAATTGAAGAAAAGCAAAATTTAAGAGCAGAAAATTTATAGTTAGAGTTATTATGTTAATGTTTCCGATTTATAAAAATTGAAGAAATTGTGGAAAATTTTTAATTAGATTGCAATTGCCCCAGTGATTGTGTCCACTTTCTATTTTATATGAATAAAGATACAGAAAATTGTCCTACTCACAGAGTTTTTGGCATTGATGCAAAATGTCAGGTGGAAATCTTGGAGAGTAACAGGTTGACAGTTGGATGGATATCTTAGCCAGTTAGGCTTTTTCTTCACTGTTTAAAATGCCTAAACACTAAAAAATACTGTAGAAACAGAGTTACCTGTATCAGATGCTCTGGAGAACATGAAAAATATAACTGTACGGAAGGTTTGGTTTGGTTTATTTAATTATGGCAAAGCACATTAGGGCTTTCTGCCTAAGGGGAGGGATGCCTTCGTGGAGGACTTTCTAAGAGAAACTGGCTCGTATACACATTACACATGAGGAAAACCACGAAAACGCACATGCAGCCAGCCCATTCGCGGGATTCGGACCGAACTACCAGTGTTCAGCGACTTTACCGCTCGGCCGCTGGTGAGCCCTAACTGTACGGAAGAAAAACTGTGTATGTTAATTTGTCGAGTTTCAGATGAAACATTTCATACAGATTATGATACTAATGATATGTTTTTTAAAGAACGCCCAGTCTATAAAAAGTTAAACACATTGTGAAACACTTGGATATATAATTAGATTTATATAGGTAATTTATACATTTTAGTTTTATCACTGCAGCTTGGCTTTTATTTTTTATTTATTTACTTGTATTTTTTATTGTATTTCATCTTTCGGATTTTAAATTTTGTTAATATTTCTATTGTATTCTTATAATTTGTGTTTTATTTCCATGAAGTTACTAAATATTAATCTTAAGCACTGTTCAGTTGAGGCATGACAGCTGTCAAGTATACAGAATTGGGCAAGACTTATGAAGCAATAACTGTGCAGGAAGCATATCTTATTGAAAATAAATTTGGCTATTAGAATAAGGACTGGAGAGTGGTAATGATGAATGATAGTAGATCTGCTGTTATATTTGCCAATGAAAATATTAGATTTACAGTATATTTGATTTCAGATACAATTGTTGTCGTTTCAGTTTCCATCAAGAATGAATTTAAGGGAATTGTTTCTGTATTTTTAACATTCGCTATATATCCTCTTCAACAGAGGATTTGCATGAAAATTTAATCAGATTGGAAGATGTTATAAAAATTTTCTTGTATTAGGAGATTTTAACTCAAAGCATTTTAAGTGGGAAGCCAGGAGTATTCATAACAAAGGAGTTTTAACTTTTTATTTCATTCTACAGAATAATTTGATTCTCTATAGTGAATGCAATTTGTTGCCTACTTCTGTATCTCCAGCTGAGGAGGGTTGGACAAATTTAATTTTAGGGTCCTCTGGAATATCCCTCCATGTCTGTGGTATTAATTATTGAACAAGAGGAGTCATTCAGCGATCATAAATATATTTTTCTTAATTTGAATGAAATATGTGCGGAATAAGATGAAGAAATTAGATTTTCATGTAATATACAAAGAGTCGAAAGGTATCTTAAAGGATTAAGGAGTCAAATGATGAATTTAAAGAAGGAATTTACAAATATTGCACAGAACGATGAGCTTGATGACTTTGTTGTTAAACTGGAAAATATATTAGTTAATAGAGGCAATACGGTCTTGAGACTTAAGAGGAAAAATAAGAATGTTATTCTGTGGTGAACACCGGAACTGTAGTGATTAAAACAATGGTTCATGCATTTAGAAAACTGTATATAAGAAAATGATAAAGATAGGAAAATGTCAGAGTAAAATAGGATTCTTTTATGAAACACATGTCTCGGAAATGATTATGAGAAAAAAAGGTAATACTGATGTGAATAATTTTGAAGTTATAAAAGATTATTTTAATAAGAACTTTGACTGTGGCTCTGTTGATGGTTTCTTGGGTGTGGATTTGTTGCAGGATGATGGATGCGCTTCAGATGATCTGCAGTTTAGTTTGGAGGAAATTAGCAAGTGGTTAAGAAATTGCATAATTATAGTGCCCCGATAACATATGAGATCACGACTGTGGTAAAATTTTAATTTTGGAAATATTTTGATTGCTTTGTGTTATTATATAATAAATGCCTTGATTTATGCTATTTTCCTAAAGTGTGGAAAGTTTCTACAGTTCTGTTTATTCCAGAGTTTGGTGAGGCGATCAGAACTATATGTTTGTTAAAATTTTGTGCAAAAGCTTTGGACTTACAGACATGCTATACCACTGTTTTATTAAAGAATGATTTTGTATCTACAAAACAATATGGGTTTACATCAGGCCACTCCATGGAAAATGCTCTGTACGATCTTGTCAATATTATCAGCTCACAAAAATCTGAATTCCACGTGGCTGTGGTCTCCTTTGATGTCTTGGGAGCCTTTGACTCTATTACATAGACGTTTTTGCTCTCAACCCTTAGAGATTTTGGAATACCCAAAAATATTTATAGAATCTTTCTTAGTTATTTTAACAAAAGGAAAGTTGTTTACAGACTTAATAAGGATATTTGTATTGAAAGAATGGTTTACAAAGGATGCCCACATGGTTCCTGCAGTGCTCCACTGCTTTGGAACACCTTAATGTACGGATTTTTGAAGAAAGAATGCCCAAATGTTGTTATGTTATACTGATGATATTTTATATGTGATTTGTAAAAACTCTTAGGAAAAATTAGAGAAACTGTTTTCATTTGCAACAGAAGATCTAAGAAAGTGGATTGAAAAAGAAAAGCTGAGAATAAATTTAAAAAAAAAAAAAAAAAAAAAAAAAAAAAAAAAAACTTTTCTTGTTTAACCCGAAGGGGGAAAGGACTAAACCACCACAACTAAAATATGAAGGTGTTAGAATTAAATGTGTTGGAAACCTTAAATATCTTATTGTTTTTTTCGATTGCAAGCTGAATTTTGAAGAACACTAATATTTTTTATAAAAGAACTAACTCTATTCTGATGTATTAAAAGAAATTTCTCAGCTAAGTCATTAGCACTGAAAAGTAGCATTAGGTTAATTTACAGCAGTTATTACTCCCTATATCATATGGTGTTAGGGTTTAGGGTTCCATGGTCGTGGATCTGCAGCGAATCAGAAATAAATTAGATACAACAATTTTGGCTGCTGCTTCTGACTAGATGCTTTAAAACAAGTTTCGATGGAAGTCATTTACATATTGAATAGTACGACACCCTTCTCCGTATTTTGTTCTTTTTACATGATAAATTTAAATTACATTCACAAAATGTTGGTTTTACTACTTACGAAGATTTTACTGCATGTAACACAGGTTTTTCTGTCTTTAATATTAACAGTATACATCCTGTATTACGAAAAGCAGAGGAATATCAGAGATTGAGGATGAGAATTGGACATATTTACTGACAGTTTGGGTTATGACAATTGAATTAGGGCAGCATATATGGTTTACTTGTTTGGTACAGAAATAGACTATAGCAAAATTAGACTTTAATCTTACAATTCGGTTTCTCATGCCAAATTAGCTACAGTCATATTTGCTCGTAATTAGATTGATGAAAGCCTGACTATAAAAACATATATTAATATGTAGAGAGACAAACTCATTACCTGGTTTGGAAGCACTAGCAGATGCAGATAGCACTAATATTTTGGTCTCATATATATAAATTTCTTTGTAAAAGTTGAGAAAATACATGAAGCGAAAGCCCATATTGGTGTTATAGATTGATTGCTGGAAGAGAAATGAAATATTTCAGGAATGAGGAAAGATTATTTGTTGAACTTTGAGGTTTCTAAAAATGTGAGAATGAAATGTGATTTTGATTACAATCAATTACTGGATAGGGGCACTTCCCAGCATACCTGAAAAGATTTAATTTGCAAAATCATAGTCTTTGCATATTTTGTAGTGCTGAAAGCAATGCACAAAATTCCATCGAAGACTGCATATTATTGCAAGATGTTGGGGAAAAACATGGGAACATAAAGGAACTCTGTTGCCAAACAAAAGAGTTTAGATATGTAAAGGATTTGATGAACTTTATAAATGGCAACAGAACAATACTGGGAATTTTGGTTTGATATTTTTAACTGCAATTTTGTTTTAATCTGTGTTGGATGTGCTGCGTTAACCATGAGGCCAACCAGGATACATTACATTACATTCTCCGGCAAGAGTTAAATACCATTCCCACCTAATAATGTGCCAGACGAGTTCATTTAAAACTGTGCGGATGGTCATAATGTTTTGGCTCATCAGTGCATATAATACTATATATATATACATGCAATGTGTGTGTCATCAAAATGTACTGGATCATTCTAATTAGTTTTAACAACCAAAAAAGAATTACATGGCCATTTATTAGTATTTCAGTTGGCATGTATGTCACATATTTACGAGAGAGAAAATAATAAGCAACTAGAAAAGTAATGAAATAATAATACGCAAAATGACAACATACCTGCTAAACTTAGGCTAAAATCTGAATTCTGATCTTGACAATCTTTTGAAAGAGCATGAAGAAATTTTTTTTCTTTTAACGTAAGAAGCTCTAAAACAAAAGATATAAACATTAACTACAGCTACTTAAAAATTCATACATTATAATCTAATATGATTTTTATTGCTCATAGCTCATAACATTATTAAAATATATAAAGATGCCTAATGATTAATTAATGACATTATATAAAGTATTTTTCAAAAGTATTCTCTATATAAAGAGTAATGCCTTTATAAATGATTTGTTTACATGTGGCTAATACATTTCAGCAAATCATTCTATATACATAAAAATAGTAAATTTAAACTGGATGTTTGAACTAAAACTGAAGCTGATCATTCCATTACTTTCCTTATCTGCAAAACTTTTGATTTCAGCATTAATATTTACTGTTAACCTTTCCTGTTTACCTGCCTTCAAACGTGGCCCACTTACACATAAAATGGCATTTTTATCGCTTGCATACCGTGCTTTCAAAGACCACACCACATGCACCCCAAGGATCTTTGCTTTCTCAAAAACTCGATCAATTGAAATTGGTTTGCAGTTACAAAGAAATTTCTCCCACAATCATTAATTAAATGGCTTTAAAAACTTTTTGTTTTGATATCAAATTAGACATCCCTAATAGCCTTGTTGCCATGCTATTTCACCATTTCATCAGTTAGAAAATTGTCTGAAACCACTAGAAGTTTCATTTTCAGGTCAATATCTCAAGTATAAGTTAAATTTCTTGTATGAGTCTTAAACATCCCATCTTTGATTTTAATTCTTGAATTTACAGTGCATCTAAATTAAAAGTGTTAAAACTTAGCATCAAAGATTATACATCTCATTTTTGAAAAGAAGATACAACGAAATCTTCAACAGCTAAACATAGTTGGGCGCTTAATCACAATTTTGACTTAAGTTCTGCAAAGATTAACCACACAGATTCTTCAAATTTTTAATATAGTCTTTTCTAATGCTTTCAGAATTCCAGTATCTTAATTTTCATGTTTAATTACTATTTTTCAACACAGATGGTGCTACATTCATTCTTGCTTTGTTCCATCCATTGCTTTCTATGTAAAATAGTTGTTGGTTCAATGTAAAACAGTTGTGTCTGCTCCCCTTCAAATTGAAAGAGTTTTATTTAAAATTTACACTAAGGCTGCTCTTTTGCACAGTTTGAAGTTCTTTTAAGTGCTAGAATTTAACATGGCACAAAGAATTTTAGCTTACTTTTACAAATCATAACTGCAGCTGTTTAATAAATTGAGCAATTTTAAACCACAAAGCTTTTAACGGTAATAATATTTATTTTATTTTCAAATAATTAAATACCAGCATTTACAAAATACTCACGGATTATATTTATGAATATTTACACCATTATCGTAATTCATAAAATATTTTCTTATATGATAAATTAAATATTTTGACATGAAATACTCTTTAGTCCCTTCTTTTGTAAAAACCTTGAAAAATGCAGAATCATCTCTCATAAAAATCTAACTTATTTAGCTCACTTATCTTATTTACAAAGCAACTTTTAGCTGCTAAGTCTCCTAGTTTTACCAGGCTTTATCACATGTCCTGAGAGACAGTCAAATCTCCTACCGTTTAATTTTTTAATTTACTAAGAAAGATGATTCCCAGCAATAAATGAAATTTAATGAATTAAACTTAAATAATGCAAATTTCATCCCCCCTCATCTAATGATTTTCAAAATAATTTTTTTATGAAATATTATTTCATCTGAACCACATTTTTTGCTTATGACACTGTAATATTAAATTTTTCCCATTAAATTAATTATCTTAATCTACTGTAGACATTTATAGATTTTTATATGAAAATTCAAGCAATGTTTAATCAGTTAATGTTCATATTTAATTTTTGTTTTACATCAGTATATGGTGCATATTCTATATGCACAAAATTTCAAGATAGTCATCAAAATTTTGCAGTTTTATGACTAACAAAATCCCAACCTCACTCCAATGGATTTTTGGGATTATCTGATATCTAAGGTGTACAGATCAAATCCATGAGATTTATCCGACATGAAAGATGCCATAAAAGGAGAAGTTATACAGATTCCACCTGCAATGTTACATTCGTCATTATCTCAACAATCTCCCACATGCAATGTGTTATTGTCTATGAAGGTGGGCACATAGAAAACTTGTAATTCTAATTTAATTTTTTCCTCTCTAATGTTGTCACAGGTTCTTTATAGTGCTCTTCTCTGCAAATGTTTTATACTGACAAATTTTGTCAAACATGTATCATTCCAATGCCAATTCAATGTTTTTTCAATCTGCTGATTGATTTGCATAGGGGAAAAACGGGTGTTGCTATTCGAAGATTTCAAAATTTTTTAACTGCCACCATAACTGTGAGATATCTCTTATATTAAATCATCACAATCTCGAACACATACTATAAAATAACAACATCTGAAATTTCATTTCGATTAGTTGAGTGGAAAGGCCACTAGGGGCTTATATATCAGAGAAATTTTCTTATGACTATATATGGGGAGATCATAAGAAATATTTCACTCATTCAGAGCAAATGTAACAATTCAAATATATTGGGCAAACACAGATAAATTAATTAAAAATAATAAATATACAAAGACAAGATTATAGGTAAATTGCATATGCATGCAAAGTGAAGCAACAACAAACTAATAAAACACAGTTTTGTACATATATATATATTTAAATGCAGGTATGCTGTCTAAGCAGAAAATTAAAAGTATTTAATATAATTCATTTTCATATATGTGACACTTAGAACAGAATTTGCAAAAGTGCAAATAAACAAATAAAAAAAGAACATAAAAAGACAAGTTTGTAAAAAACTGTAGTTATATAAAAATGAAGAAAAAAAAAAACTAAACCATATATGGATCCACCAAAAATGTTTTTATGTTGTCAGAAAAATGACAAAAAACATATTTGATCACCATGATTACAAATAATAATAATAATAATAAACAATTACTAGCTTTTTCCATCTTTTCTCCAAAATTCAATAACAAATTCTGAAATATAGAAATAAAAACATAAAATTAATGCTAAAAGACAATACACATGCACATAGGTATTATAAAGTAAACAAAAACAATAAATAACTTACTGCAAATTTCTTATTGGATTTCTTTAGCTGATTGAGACATTTACTTTTCACTGTTAACTGCTCATGACACGTATCTATTTCTTCTAAAAATATAAATTAAAATAATACTACCACAACTGCAACATAAAATTTTTATTTAATTAAGTTAGCAATTAATTTTAAAGTGCACATTTATTTTGTAGTTAGTCAAAAATATACATATTTCTATAAAATTTTGTTAGTTTCTAACAGTATGTGCAGTGTTATTGATTGTATTACAATCATGAACATTTAAATTTATTCCGCATTTTAACTGCTAACTCAATCTAAAGGATTGAGTTAGCAGTTAATATGATCTAATCAACAAGCCTAATGCTTGGGTGGGAATTTGCATTAGTAACATTTAATTCTGAAATAACAAATTTTACAAGAGTTTATCAATAGTTTCTGGATTGACTTTGTGATTAATTAATAAAAAGCAGCACAGAGTTACACTTGAAACTATAATCTTCAAACTTGATTTAAAAAAGAAAAAAGAAAAAGAGCTATTATAATGATGCTTTTGTACAAAACATGTGCACAGTAATCTGCAATTACTTCGCAGATAGGAAAGTACAGCAACAAGCCAAAAGTTTGTAATAAACCAGGCAAATCAGATAAGGAAACACTGAATAAGCATTAGTAAGCTTATGTGAATGGGGCAATGCATCATATGTAATATTTTGAGTGGCACAGTTGCTTCTAAAGAGAACAAACATCCTTTGAAGTCAAAGATGGATCTGGATGACTTTCAACAAGCATTACCTCCAAAAATGGGAAATAAATTTGAATGTTCATGATTGTAATACAATCAGTAACACTGCACATACTGTTAGAAACTAAAAAAAATTTATAGAAATATGTATATTTTTGACTAACTACAAAATAAATACAACTGAAAGTTTCTTAAATGCTCAAATCCTTTTTCAACACCATAATGATATTTTAAGCACAGTGTTTATTAAATTCTCAATCTCCTTAACACAGAGATTCTATTTTTACATGAATTTTTTCCTTCAATGCTTTACATAAATAATAAATAAAAACCTCTAACAAAGCATATTCGATGCAAAACTGTAATAACCGTGTATATCATATTTAGCATTTTATTTGAACACATTCTGAATATACTGTTATGAATTTTGTACATGTGTAAATAATTTTTGTCAAATTATATGTAAAATTGTAGTACTTTAGTATAATGTAGCATGAAATGCTGGAAAAGTAAGATTACAAGGCAAGTTTAACGTTGAAGTAGGCTATCTTGCTAAACTGGCAAGATATTGCCAAGATAGTGATGGTTTTGGCAACTTAATTTTAGTCACCAAATTTGGCAAGAAATCAGCAGAACTCAGCAAATTTAGATGAGGGAATCGAAGGCAGTCTCCGTATAGGACGAAGGTTTTGCATCGCTAAGCCTAATTTTATTTTTAAAAAAAATCAGAAAAAAAAGTTTCACTTCTAGCATCGTATTTTTGGTATCATTTTAGATTATTACTTGAGCTCTTATATATGCTAAAATTAGCACTTAATAGTGTTTTTTTCTTTATTTTACATGAAAATATACTTAAAAAATTGCTTATCTTGTAAAATAATTTTCAGGAGCGCTATTAAAATTATTCCAAAGTTTTTAATTTTAATTGATAAAATCCATCAATAAAGTTTAAAACTAATAAAACAACACAATAAAGACTATTTACAGTAAGAAGTAACAAAATTTTAAATGAAGACTGAGTGTGGTAAATCTCAAAGCACAGAAGTATCACTTTCTAATTCTTAGAAAAAGTATCACTTTCTAACTCTTTAGAAAATGAATCATCACTCTCATCTGCATTAGTAAATGGTTCATTAACCATATGAAGGTATTCTTCCTCTGATAAATAGTGCCTTCCTGCCATAATAGACTAGAGGTGAGGCTTTCCGAAATAAAAAGAGAAGAAACAGAAATGTATCTGAAGGCAATACAAAACGTAACGGAACTCCACATAGTAAACCTAAAAGGGGGAAAAATAGAATAAAAAAAGGAATTGGATTTAAATTAGACAAGCGAATGTTTATATTAATTAGCATGCCACGATTTAAAAGAACCGACCTCCGTTTACGCTTTCCCTCCTCCCACACCCTCGCAACAGTTGATGAGTAAAATACCAAAGTCAGGCAGAACCTATCAAACTCAAGGTCAGGAACATAAAACTGTGTTCATTTCAAAAGTAATGGACATAGGATGCCATCTAGTGGCCTTCAAAGAAATGTTCCAGCTTAAAATGCGTATACGCATCACCCGTTCTATGAATGCAATCTCTAGTGATGCGTGGATGGGACGCCCGGTTGTAAGAGACATTCTTAGGGAATGCGTATATGGGACGCCTGTCCTGAAAGGGTTAATCCTATATGCCTTCCAATAATTTTGAGAAATGCGAAGTACTGGAAACGTCTCATCATCCTAAGGAAAACTATATAAGAGAGAGCATCAATTCTCCGTTTTTAGTTCAGAGCTGATTTCGGGGTACTGTGAGATCACTGCATTGTGTTTAACGCAGTGATTAGTTATTAGTAGTTTGAAGTGTTAACTATTGAGAAGAGTTGCACGAGTTGCTTTTTGGAAAGTTTGAGAATTGTAAAGCGCTTCTTTTGGGAAAATAAATTTTATCAAGCTATCATCAGTTCTGTGTGCATTCAATCGATTAAGAACCTGTACGCAAGTACCAATACTATTAAATGTATAAAAAGATACATTAATTTAATCGAAATTTTAATTTCATGTACACAATCATAAATTAAAAATACTATTAGAATTTAAATTCCAAACAATTTCCTCTTCTCTCATTCTTTAGGAAAACACATTTTAAGAATATACAAGAATAAACAGAAATGAATATGCAATAAAATGGAAAAATAAATTTCTATTGAACAGTGAATAAAAGTAAATATCTTACTTTTTAATTTACGTTCTGCTTTGGTTTTAATTGATCTGCAACACAAAATTACAAATAAATAAAAAAGTTGAAATATTAATTATATATATATATTAATTTAAAAATCAACTTTTTATATTAAATCTTCTATTTGTAACTTAATATTTTTTGTCCTTTCATTAAAAATTGGCATTCTAATATTTTACACTTTCTCCAGGAAGAAAAAATATTTATTTGCTCATTTTATTTTTCATCAAGACATTTTACTCAAACTAAAAATATTTATACATGTGTTATTTCAGATAATTTAAAAGAATAAAGAAAGGGGCAGTTTTTTTACCTGAGAGAAAAGCACAAAAACATGAATCAATATCTCTAAAGATATGATAGCAATTTTTCATATAAAAAATTTAAAGTAAAAAGAATAACTTCTCAAAAAATAATAATAATATTCATTAACAAGAAATAGGACCTAAAATTTTATGTTATACTATTAAAACTACAAGAAACAGGGTTTGTATTTATTTATATATTTTAAAGGATAGAAATGGGAAAATATAGCTGCTAGTAAAACACACATTAACTAACATACTAACCTGAAATATTAATTTTATGTATCTATACTAACCTAAATTACTGATTAAGACTTCCCCAGAAATTAGCATGTATCATAATCTGGTTATGAATAGAGTAAAATTTTTATCACAGAAAAAACAACGAAATTTCCAGGCCAGTCTCAAAGAAAATCATGAAAATTTGCATCAATTTTGCAATAAGTCTTAATTAGAAATTTCGTAGCAATCATTCAGAACTTTTGTTTTGCAGAAATTCAAAAAAAATTTTATGGTAAAGGAATTTCACCAACATTAAAAAATAAAGAAAGAAAAAATACAACAATAGTAGTAGTAGTAGTAATAAGCCATGAACAAATAAAAATATCAGCAAGGAATTAATATACATTTTAATGTTTTTTGTATCAAATTTTAATGTTTTTAACGTATAATTTGTATCAAATCATGTTTGCCACTCAAACAGGAGAATGAAATTCCCCGACTTTTCCAGGTGTGTTTAAAAAAAATTTCAGTCTAGCCACGTAGGCTGCCTGCCTTAAAGGTAAATTAATTATGGTACTATTTGAAAACACAAGAATTTGCCAATTACATACAACTTACATATATATATGTGTGTGTGTGTGTGTGTATATATATATACAATATATACATGGTGTTTCATAGATCATAGGACAAACTTGGAGGGGTGGTGGAGCATACTAAAACATGCATTTCTTGTATAGGAATGTAGGGCCTAAAGTGACGGGTTAAGGCAGGAACGGAAAAAAACGATGCGAGAGGAAAATGAGTCTACGTACAAAATCAACACAAATGACACGAGAGGAAAATGTGTTTATGTACAAAATCAATGCATGTTGTAGTACGCTCCACCACCTAAGTTTGTCCCATGATCTATGAAACACCCTGTGTATGTAATGATAGCACAATTTTAGAAACACTGATGTACGAACATCAAGACGTAGAAATGCAGAAATACTGATGACATTTAATAGATACTTGATGCTTAGAGCGTTGACCCATTTTGCTTCTTTGCAGCAGTACAGTATTCACAATAAATGTTCAAAAAAGGGAACACTAACAGTAATAGGAACTACAGCTGTGATTGGCTGGCAATGCAGCGGTAGAGGTCGGTAGTGAGCCGAACAAACCCCGATCCAATGCATCAGAGGATCATTCGCAACTCTGATGTCGAGCGTGATGGGTGAGTTTACACACAGGAAAAAAGCTGACATGCATCTCATACAGTCAAAAGTCTTTAATCCGGACTCGTCGGGACTTCGGCTATTCCGGATTATCGATTTTTCCGGATTATAGATCATCAGTTTAAATCTGGTAAGATGGCATGCAGAAATTATAAAATTAAAAATATGAAATCGTAATTTATAAAATAATGAGCAATTATGATCTAAAGGGTATCAAAATTTACAAAAAAGAAGCTTAATATTATTTGTTTACTTTATTAAACATTTCTTTCAACGTGCGCATGCGTACCTTACGCATAGCCGAAATTAGAAAATTGCAACCAGAATACTATTTGATTTGTATTCGTGATATTTATAATGATGAGCAATTTGATTTAAATCATATCAAAGACGGAGTACATCGAGATTAAATACTTACTACATTTAGTAAGGAATTATAAGCCGAATAAAATAAAAACACCTGCCCTGAAGATAACGATAGTGGTGACAGATCAACTTCCAGTTCATTGCGCGCCACAACGCCCCCCCCCCCCCCGCGCAGAGCAGCGTGAAATTGATAAACAGATCGGAACGGTTAGATAAACAAAGGATATACCTTTATCCATTTTTTGTAGCAATTCGTTTTTTGTATGATGAACATCGAATCATACTTTCGTTTTCTAGATCCTTTGGGAGCTCCAGCATCGGAAATTCTATTTCACATAATCGAAAGTTCAAGCTTACTTTTATAAATTGCTCTTACAGTCTGCAAAAAAATAATAAGCCGATCCAATTCGAAGATTAAGGAACAACGCAACCATCAACATTAACCGAAATAGATAATTAGATAAATTTAGCTTATACCGTCCGTTCGCGCACGCGAAAACGTATTCTGCGCTTGCGCAGACGCATATGCACCGTCGTAACTGTCTTGCGTGCATGCGTAAAACGCCTATGAGCATGCGTCAATGCGCCGCATGCGCAGAAAGATTTTAGCTTTGAGTTCCGGATTATAGATCATTCCGGATTATGGGTGTCCGAATTAACGACTTTTGACTGTATATGGTGCTGCTAATGGGAACGGCAGAGCAGCGCTACACTTGGACCAGGAACGGTTTCCGAACAGTTGTATGCTGAAGCACACAATGTTCGAGAGGTTGCATCAGTCTTTGTGTGAAAACGGTGGTCTGAAGCCACTTCTGACACTAAGAGTGAAAGAAGAAGTGCACGACAACCTCGCATTGAAGAATCCATTTTCAACATTGTACATGAATCACCTCAGACAAGTACAAGAACTATTGCACTTGTCTGAGATAGTCTGCAGCTGAGTCATTCCATCGTTTCGAGAGTATTGCAGAAAAATGGTCTGCACCCATATCATTTACAGAGAGTCCGAGCCTTGCAAGAACCAGATTACCCTCTTTGAGTTCATTTCTGTCCTTGCTTCTTGCAGCAGTATGTGGTGCAAACGGATTTCCCGTCGGATATGCTATTCACGAATGAGGCAACTTTCTCACAGGACGGCATCTTCAATAGCCACAACATGCACGTGTGAGCAATTCATAATCCACATGGCACACGTCCACATATATTCCAAACCCGCTTCTCCGTGAATGTGTGGGCGGGTATTGTTAATGACTACCTTATAGGCCATACCTCTTACCTGCATGTACAAATGGCTTATGTTATCATATTTTTCTGCAAGAGGTGCTACTGGAATTGCTGCAGGATATTCCAGCTGTCGTTCGTTATGGCATGTGGTTCCAGCATGATGGTGCACCAGCCCATAACCACATGCGGGTCTGCAATTACTTGGATGGGACACATCCAGGCCAATGGATTGGCCGTGGTGGACCAATGGATTGGCCAGATTTATCCAGCTTGGACTTTTTTTTAATTGGGCCATCTGAAGAGCATCATTTACGAGACTCCAGTTGACTCACTGGTGGACCCTGTTGCACGACTATCCATTGTGGCTGCAAGCGTGCACAAAATGCCTGTCGTTTTTCAAAATGTTCATCAATTCCTTCTACGATGTTGCCAAGCATGCATTACTGCTGGTGGTCAAAATTTTTGACATTTATTATGAATACTGTATTGCTACAAAGAAGCACTTAGTGTTGATTTTGTACATAAACACATTTTCTTCTCGTGTCTTTTTTTTTTTTTTTTTCGTTCCTGCCTTAACCTGTTACTTTATACCCTACATTCCTATAAAAAAATGCATGTTTTAGTATGCTCCACCACCCCTCCAAGTTGTCCCATGATCTATGAAACGCCGTGTGTATGTAATGATAGCACAATTTTGGAAACACTGATGTATGAAACGCAGAAATACTGATGACATTTAATAGATACTTGATGCTTAGAGAGTTGACCTGTTTTGAAGGGAACAAGTCGAGCTGAATTAATTTCCTTTTTTATTTAAATTCACATTTGTGGCCGCAATTCACTTGACACTCCAATCTTGCCTATTTCCAGAACATTTACATTTTTGATACTATGGTGATATAAGCAAGCACAGCAATGCATCCACGCAGCACAGAGTTTAAGCAAAAAGTGACGCAGTTATTCAGAGGAAGAAGAGAGGGAGTCAAAGTTTCAATTTGAGTTAGAAAAAGTTTTGGTTTACAATTATTTGATTGGGCAAGAGGTATCTGCATTAAGCATTACGTAGGATCGCATGATTAATTTGAATGATGCAGTTTAAAACTTATAGTGCTATTTTTAAGATAGAGAGATGAAGTCCCCAGATTAAATAAAAAATAAAGAAGGTTATTGCCAATTAAAATTAGAAATTTACTCTCATATTTTTTAGCTTTACATATATATATAATCCCCAAAGCATTACTTTTATAACTATAATAGGAGTTGTTTTCTTCACTAAGGACTGAGATTAGAGTCTGCCCAATCGAGATTAAAAAATGTACTTTCTGCAGACATTTTGCAGCTAAAGAAAGAAAGAAATCTATTTACTGATATTTTAAAATAAATTTAAGTATTTTATATTTATTAGTAGCATACATAAGTAAAAAATATGTGCACTAAATTTTGTGATGGTATGTCCTACCGACAGAATTAGTTTCACAAGTATGCCACAGAAAATAGCCTGAAATTTGAAAGTATTACTAACTAATAATAAATAAATTTAGAAGGAAGAGGTGTAGTGTGTATTTAATTATGGCAAAGCACACTAGGGCTATCTGCCTAAGGGGAGGGATGCCTTCGTGGAGGAAGGGAAACTGGCTCGTATACACGTTACACATGGGGAAAATCACGAAAACACCCATGCAGCCAGCCCATTCGCGGGATTCGAACCTCGGACCGAACTACCAGTGTTCAGTGACTTTACCGCTCGGCCACTTTGAAGAAAGAAGACACATTAATTGATACAGATGACATTAAACTAAAGTTCATTACTTAAGGATAAAAAAATTGAATTACAAAAATCAACAGTATTTTGGCAAATACAGATATATTATATGGTTAGCCTACATGACTGATTATTATTATTTTGCTGCAAAATGTCAAATAAGACATTTAAGCAAGAAGAAAAGGTTTAACTCTTTGAAATCCAGACCCTTTGTTAAGCTGTATCCTCAAAATACCCAAACCGCCCGAAATACTTTTCCAGTTTCACAGCAATTTCCTCCCCTCCCCGTCCATTAACGCAGAAAATAGTACAATGACATCCTTTGTACTTTCTAACAAAAATTCCATTAGCCTTTGACCCCGTTTTTTATAAAACTATTCTGAAGGTCAGATCAACAAGCCTTTCCGGCTTTGTTATGATCACGACTGAGATTTTGTTTATTTTCGTTATTTTTATAGGAAGGAATAAATTGCTTAAAAATAAATATAATCCTTAAATTTTTAAACTGCTCTTTTAGTGCTGTTTAAAGCTTAAAAGAACACTGAAGAATCAACAATGAAATTTCACGATCAACCAAAAGATAAAAAAAAAACCTCTTAGGATAAGCTGTCTGCAGTAAACTGATACACTGCATATCTTAGGGGGAGGGAAGAAAAGAAGATTACAATCTCGGCCGTTTTCAGGCAGTTGTGGTTGTTTCAACGTAGGGCCGTGTCGGGCGGATTGGATGTGAAGGAGTTAAAAGATTTTGTTTTATACGGGAATGGGGGGGGGATTTACTTTCGTTCAACATACACTGCACATGTGTATGCGAATCTCTGGGTTCTCAAGGTTACGGAAAACAAAGGGGCTGGAAACTTGCTTTGCCTTTCTAAAAGACAATCTGATTGAATGCCCCTCATGCGATACACGATTCACCAAGAAAGTTATCACTTCCAATGTTGGGGCGAAAATCCTTTTTTGTGGGATAGTCATATGAAATTCTCAAGACTTTTCTAGATTTTGACTATTAAATTCCCTGACTTTGACTTTTCCCGGTAGCATCATAACCCTGTCAAATAATGATTTCATTTTCTACTAAAAAGGATAATTAGGTTGGAAATACTAACAAATATCAAAATCCTTCAACGTCCGATTCATGGTCAGATTCGCCAAACATTTCATAGAACTCTTCTGTCGTCATTGGCTCGTCATCATACATATTTTCAGTCTCGAACTCTGTATTGTTACAATCACTACTAGAGCCTTCGTCATCATTTTCACTTTCAAAAACAGTATCATCTTTCATGCCGTCTAGTTCGCTGCTAATACAACATTTTTTAAATGATTTAATAATCATTTCAGAGGTATTTCGTTCCAAGCATCTTTAACCCACTGAGCAATTAATGTAATATTGGGCTTTTTAATGTTGTCTCCCTTTGTAAATGTTGGTCGACCGGAACTAATTTACTCTGCCCAATATTTTCTAACATTTACTTTAAAGGACTTACTGAGGCAGACATCTAGGGGTTGAATGACGGATGTTAATCCTCCCGGAATTACGGCCACAGTCAGTTTTAGGTGTTTTGTCACTTTTGTCACTTCAGAAAAGTGTCCACGAAAAGAATCCTATACTAAAAGCGAAGGTTTTTTGAAAGCTGCTCCTGGTCTTTTATCGCACACATTTTTAAGCCAATCGACTGTTCCGTCAGCATCCATCCATCCCTTTTCATGGGCACGAACCAGACACTTGATGGAAAACACAACGTTTTTCGGCAAAGTTTTTCTTTTAAAAATTATCAACGGACGATCTTTAAAAATGACTATCTGCATTTCTCTTTTCTTGGCGTGTTGGCGAAACTTTTTTATTGCTCGATATTGATCTGTTGTTCGGGGGCCGAAAATTCTTTGGTTTAATCGAAATGTACTCTAGTTAAAGTATGAAACTCTGTGATTAGTTCGTCACATAATTTAAGTCATGAAATTACTTTAAGTAAGTGGCTTATTTGATAAGTCGTCCAATTTGAGCGCGGGAGGAAAACAACTGCTTATATTTTTTTTTTTTTTTTTTTCCGTCCAAAATATCTCGACCTATACGCGGGTATATACGGTAATCAATTATGTTTCTTCTTTTACTTCACTTATTATTCCATAAGCTTTAAAAGCTTATTTTATTTTTTTACAAAGAAATTTCCCCATTTTTTATAATATGCTGCAAGAAGCCACTGCTTGTGAGAATGACTAAATGAAACAGCAAACCATAGAATTTTAAATTATTTCACTTTTAAAAATTCTACAAAAGGAGATTTGAGACAAAGCATCCATGGTTTACAGATAATATGGCATATGCTCATCAAGAAAATAAAGCTGAAGAGAGGAATTTCAGTATCATTCAAAAAGTTTCCCTTTGTAAAAGATAAAATGAAAGCTAACAATAAAAACTTACAAATCTTTCTGTAGTGATACAATCTGTTCATCATCATTAACATTCCTTAATTTCAGCTCTTTGAACTGAGTAAGTTCTGCCTAAAAATTAGTAATAGTAAAATTAGAAGTCTACACAACATTAGTCAATGAAGCATACTAAATTCACATTAAAATGCATATACAATCACTTTCCTTTATAAGGTACTTGAATATTTCAAATTATAGGGGAAAATTGAATGGAACAATTTTAAAATATGAAGTAATTTTTCACTAATAACAAAGTATGAAAAATGCAATTTTGCATACAAGTAAAATAAAATGTCTTTCATACTGTTCAGCGTATTCTGGATATTACTTGATAAATATTATGATTTATTAAAAAGCAGTTATTCAAGTGTTCTTTCTCGTATACCCAAGAATTAGAAACAGTTCTCACCATCCCAATTCTGAAAAGAAAAAGAAATTAATGGAACATGTATTTCCTCTAACCAACTGCATGAATAAAGATGGCACTCAAACCAGTTTAGTGATTTCAAGAATGCATACTGCAATTATTTTTAGTTATTCTTAAGCTGATTCTGATAATGCAAAGTACACACAAATACATTTGTTGACATCTGGCCCATATAATAAAAAAATTTTATTATACTTTTCTACATTCGTTGACATCTGGCCCATATAATAAAAAAAAAATTTATTATACTTTTCTTCATTCATTGCCATTTGGCCTTCCATTTGAGTCAGAATTTGAATAATAAAGCTATATAATATATATGCAGCAAAACATAAACCTTTGTCAATCAAATTAAATGCATTTTTCATCGAAATATTAAAACCAGCAAGGACAGAAATATTAGCAATTTCCACAGTTCACTGCCAGATTACATCATGATTATTCAAAACTAGTTCTAATAATGTAATGCAAGAGATGAAATGCAACCATGAGTGAGAGGCAATGCTACACCATAAAACAGATTCTGGTAATGATCTGAGTATAAGGGTATTAAAAAAAATGTTCTCATGTAAAAGTGAACAAAGCCTAGCTGATACTAGCTCTTCTTTATCAAGCTAGCTTATGAGTGTTAAATAGATGTTTTTTTAGCATCCGAAATTGCACAATGAACACTATTTCTGATTGCAATGAATGTTAAGTCCTTTTATCAAAAAATCCTTTTTCTTTGAGCTGCAAAGAACCAGTTAGACCACTGAATTAAAACATTTGAGTATAATAAAGATATAATAGATGTCTCACAGAGACGACTTCAGTCTAGTTTTTGCCATGGAACAACAAGCTGCTCAACTTTCTAGAGTTATAACGTGGGAAGCTATCACGACAGTTAGTGGCCTTTAGTAGTACACTAACAGTTTGGTGATATGTACAGAACACCTTACAATAAAATCATGTGAAGTACCAATCAACTAACAAGCATTTTTATTTAGATACTGCTCACTCACACACAGTGGTTTCCCAGAATTATCACCACTACTAAGTACACATATTTACTTGGCCTCTCTAGCCACTAGAGTTATAAATTATTTATAGGACCAGTTTCAATAGCTTGTATGTGTGCAGGATTTAGAAGCTCAGAGAATATCATAGACAACATGTATATTTCCATGTCCAACCATATTTTGTCTTGTATCCATGCTAGAAGAGATCAATAGTGTACTAAAGTCTTATAAACCGTACAGTTTTCTTCAGTAAACTTTTCCTTTAATACTATAATACTGTAATCATCATATATCAACACTACATTCATACATAATAAAGTTTCATTCAATTACTACACCTGTTTGGTTAATCCCCCCTTAAGACAATTGGGTTTATTTATATTAAAAAGTTATACCCTTTTTTCATAATTACAAAATAAAAACTTGAAACATATATAGTCCAACTATTATGAATTAAATTAAAAGGAGTTTTAGCATGAAATAATAGCAAATAGAAATTACTGAATATAATTTAGTTCAAAATGTATGTCAAATTTACCTGCAATTGCTGAACTTTCTCGATTAATGCTATTCTTTCACCTTCACTTGCTTCAAAGCTTCTTCTTAATGTTTCTGTTTCCTAGAGACAAATGAATTAAAATAACTGCTTAATTTCCCTAGCAAACATAGATTAGCAGAAACCTAAATTATTAAAATAATTGCTATAATAAAACTTTAAAAAAGTGGGAGGGAGGAAGTCCTCAAACATTTAAGAAATTATGATCTTAGTTAAGTTTTTCAGTCAACCTGACAATGAATAAGATTTTCAAAATTCACTGGCAGAAAAATAAAAAAAGCTTCAGAAAAATAACAAATTGTCTGAATAATGAACAAATTTTCCTTTTAATAAATACAGATTAATTGCAAGTTAACTACGTAGACTTTTAAATCTGTTGCATAAATAATCATATAACAATCATTCTTCAATATTTAAAAGGTACTTTTAAAATTTAAAACATAAAACTTTTTTTAGAGTTGAAAATAATTAACAGTTACAAAGAATCTTACTGTTGTCAAAGACAAAAGGTCACTCATCTTTTCAGCTAACTTTTCCTCATACTCATATAACTGGCTAGAGGGGAGTGAAAAAGATTTGACATATATTAAAATTTACAACAATATACTGAATACAAGAAATAAAAATATCAACATCTACATTAAAAAATGTTCTTCAGTATAAAATTGTTCTAAAATTACATCAAAAATATAGATAAAAAAACAATTTTTCATAACTAAATTACATACAAAATTCTATAAAGTTCTATAAGCAGTATATTTAGCACATCATTTTTTAACTGAACTATCTTCTTCACAAGCTGGATTGCATAAATAAGCTAAAAGTTTCATTTAAGATGATGTTATAAAACTTTAAAAGTCTCTATTACAAACTCCATAATTTACTAATTATGTAAACCAAAATGTGATGTATTACAATACTCACAAATTCTAAGTATTTTTATTTCAAACTAGCATAAGTGGGAATTAACACTATTTCTTGCTTTGTTCCGCAAAAAATTTATTATGTGATAGAGTTGTTATGTCCAAAATCTAAGATATGTGATAAATTTAACTAAGATGATTAAGGATTTTAAATTTAAATGTTGTCTATAATTTTGACAGCTCAAAGTTCAGTCATTTTATCCTTAATTTTCTAATCTTGTTGGCATTCTCATGGCTCAGAACGTTAGGGTGAAACTGGAAGAAGATCAAAAAAGTTTTTTTGAAAATCTGCTGGGGGTAAAAAATGTGCATGGATTGAAAGCTGGCATTCAGGATGGATCCACATGTGAAAAGAATAATTCAGCATCTTTGCTTTGCTTTTGTTATCAGTAGATCAGGTTTGCAGATAAATTGCTTTTTTCAAATGGAAACGCGAGAAAGTTTTCTTGGCTAGCAGTTGATCATTTGAAAACAGGAAGATCCTTTCTTCCCTCTCTGCAAATTTTCCCTTTCTGAAGGTTAATGGGGGATTGAACTTGTTTTTCACATGTTCTGGATTACTCATGGAAGCTTAGCTGGGAAGATGACAAATTTTTATGATCAAAGTTTGATTGACTGTGGGGAGATTTGGGATTACGCTATTGCCTAAAAGAGAATTAAAAATTTTTTTGGTCAGCTAATGAACTCGTATTTCATATTCTCCAAGGTTTCATCATGGCTTATACAGATGTAGAATTCAGATCTGTCTTAATTTTCAAAGAAAAAGAAAAGCTAAAACATAAGTGGGGGTTGCTGCTTTTCCATATCCCTTGCAGCCTGAGTGTAGTCGCTTCACGAGTTAGCTCTTCCTGGTGAAAAACGCAAGTTTGACAGACAGTCTCAACAGTTCGCTAGTCTAAGGTGGCAAGAAACAACCAACCTGCCTTCTTCCCCAAATATGACTCTAGTTAAAATACAAAGTATGTTGAATAAGGCAGACAAATGAACCAGGGTTTATTGTGGTCCATCTAAGAAAAAGAACCAGCATAGCAAAAGAAAAACTTCTTAAGGGAGGACACCTTGTCGTAAAATTAAAACAATATAACATGAAGATGTTATCAACAACGTTAAATGAATGAAAAAATATTTTCTGCTGGATTAGCTGGCCTTACCTCCTTCAGGGCACTTATTGGTTGATCAGCTACAAGCTGTCAAAACAGAAATGTACTTCAGATCAATATCAGGCAGTCAACTCAGAAATGGGATATGCCATCAACTTGAATGGCTGAAGAATCCAGGAATGACTAATGAGAAGTCCCTGAGGTTTGCCACTGGCCAATGCTTCTATTGCCATGAAAGTTAGAAGGATAACTTGGGCTTAGTTATAGTTAAAAGGATTAAGCTTAAGTTGGTTGCATGCATAGTTCCCTTTATCCAAAATTTGCATGCCGCATGCACCAGTAAGCTATTTACCAATAAGCTACCAATATTTTATTTACCATTTGGAGGATGATATCTGTAATACCTTCTTGAAAATACAAAGGATGTCGGCACTGGAACAAGATCACAAGTCAAGAAGTATGGCTTGATTTTATTTTGTCAGTCTTAATAGCTGATGTTGTAGTTGCAGGTGCTTGCTCACGCTCATCACCCTCAGCCAGTGTAAACAAAGACTTCAAACTATCAATAGACATGGATGTCAATGCCTTCAATATTCACCATTATATTACTTGTATGAAGGGGAAATCATGGCATAAAGTCCAAAATACAGCAGCTGTAAAGAATATCTAACAGAATCTTGTCTAATAAAGAGTTGTGTAGCAGTTAACCATTCTGGATGGATAAAAAGATCTTAGGATGTGTGTCTCAATGCTGGAGTTGGTTTCAAAGCCATTGTTTTAAATTGCACATATCGAAGAAATTGGTCGTAAAACAGCAACTTGGATGAATTTCTAAAGAATTATCCATACAGTTTCAGGGGAAAATTATAAACAAAATCAGCAGGTGAGGCATTTAAATCAAATTTAAGACTGAAATGGAGCCCAAGCACTTGTAATGGAAGGGTACCTGTCCACTGTGTAGAGTGTTTCTGCTCATCAAAGCAACTTTAAGTTGGCAGTGCCGAAACTCTGCCATACCACTGGCACTTAGAACTGTAAGAAATGGTTCGATTTTTAACGGAACCTAAAAATTTGGTTAAGTTCAACAAACAGTTGACATCTGAAGTTTGCTCCTTGATCTGTAGTGATTATTTCACGAATTCCAAAGTGTACCCACCCAGCAAGAAACACAATTGCAATAGTCTTTACATGTTGCTTCTTTAAAGCTTTGGGCTGCCTAGTAAATTAATTAATGCATGTCAAAATATAAATAAATTCTTTAGATGGGGATAAAGGTGCAAACAGCAAAAACAATCAGAAGGTAATGGTAAATTTTCAAACATTTTAGATTTAGTTTGCCTTTGAACTTTATATTTTTTCACTACAAACATAATTTACACCGTTCAAACTGGGGTGAGACAGTTTGTGCAATTTGTAAAAAGTTTTCTTTCAAAATGATACCATGTCATATGTCTGAGTGGATGAGCTTGAAACATCTCCATACAGAAAAGTTTTGGAATCAAATTGAAATTTACATAATTTTAACCCTGTCTCCATTTAACAAATACTAATTTTGTGTTGGCTACCTGCTTAGGAGCCATTTATTAGTGAAATTTGAATCACTTCTGAGATGCAAAAAAGCAACTTTATCTTGGACAGTACTTATCATCAGACTTTTGCACAGCAAACATTATAGGCTTATGATCCGCGTAAATCCTGAATTGATGATCTTTGAGCTCATATTCAGAATGCTTAGCTATGGAAAAAATCACAAGAAACTCTTAACAAAAAGTACTGTAATCTTAATCCAAATGAATTTTTGAGAGAAAAATACCAATGCAATTATCTACAACTAGTTGTAACACTCTACTTTTTATTAAGTTATTCAACAGTCTTTTCAGAGGCTTCGGTAGACAAAGACAACCAAGATTTAGGGTTGTAGCATGATAGTTACATAACACTAACTATCGAATCTTTACATGCTGCAGAGGATGATTTTGCAACTGTAGACCACACATAAAAAAATAAATCTCACTTTCAGTTCCTAGAAATTTTTTATATTCATTTACCTTTAATGATGCCCAATTTACTGTATCATTTTACATAATACAAAAAGGGGTTTTTTTAGTCCAAAGGGGCTTCATCCCTGAAAGACTATATTGTAAAACTTTAAAAAAATTTTTATTAACAAACTCAACGATTTAAAAATGAGCAATGGCAACTCTCTACAGGGTTTAAAAAAAAAAAAAAAAAAAAAAAAAAAAAAAAAACCCTTTTATCTCTAGCGTGTGGAACTGTGTATCACAAATTCTAAAGATATGCTATTTTTAAAATTATTTTGGGTTAAGAGTTGAATTTAGGGTACCCCTTGTATAATCACTAAGTTGATGTTTTATTTATCACCAAGTTGCTGTCTCATTTATGAGAACCTGAGTAGTTGAATGGTATGGAAACCCTATTATAACGTAAACTGGTTGCGGTGAATTTGAATCATGGGAAAAAAATTTGGAAAGTGTGTGGGATTTTGGGTAAGGGCTTGTGTATGTTGGATAAGTATGTTGTTATTTTGTAGTTTAAGTGCCCTGTTCAGAGGAAGGAAATGTGTATAGTTGAACATCAAATACTTTCGGAGGATATTTTTTACTCTTATTTTTGTGAATTTATGTGGTGACACCAGTATACAGATTCTAGTTCAAATAATTTTAGGAAGTCTTTGGATGCTGTTCAGGAATTTTATTTGACTGAAGACGCATAAATTCGTAAATAAGGTAAGTGGATATTTCCTTCGCGCAGTGCTAAGATGAATTTCCTTTTTTATGTTATTTCATTGTTTGATTTAAAATGCAGTTTATTCAGATTATATATTTTTTGTTGGCTGCTCCTTTGACTTTTTAAGTGAATATAGTTTGATGTATATATGGAAAAAGTCAAGCGAGTGCACAAAGCATAGTTTGTGCAATTCTCTGATGTTTTTTCGCAAGCCAAAATAACAAGTCAAAGAACTGCACAAACTTGGTACCCATGTATCGCCAAGAGGTACCCTAAAATATACTTTTACCTTACTTTGCCACATTGCTGTTGAACTGAATTTTATGGTTTAAGTGCAAAGAACATGATATCCCCTCTGGACGTAATTTTTTTTTTTAAACTAGAAGCTGGAATTTTTTATCATATCAACAAGAATAAATTTATAACAAGAAAAATATTTCTATTTCAGTACTTATATAATATCCCATTTACCATAAAACTTGGCAGAGATCCTGCTAAAGTTGCACCAATTGTTCCTGCGTTATTCTGAAAAAACTGACTCCTTTTAATTCAATAAACAGTATTCAACCTTTGTTTTATGCTTTGAAAGCCTTTCGTCGATTTTTATTATTTTGTTAGGTGTGTCGATTTTAAAAGAACCTTTGTTTAGAATACTCTGAATATAAATGTTTCAAAGATAACTGTTTATATCTATAACTGTTTTGTATGACATATTCAACTGATCATACCATGTACATTAATACACATCTTTTTTCAATGGTATTATCCCATAACTTAGAAAATAATCTACTGCTTCCTGTTTTGCAAAAGAACAGTCCCAAATTTGAATTTTTTTTTTTCAAAATAGAAGAATTTATATCCTTGTTCCTGCAATAACAATTTATATCCTTGTTTATAGAACCAAAGGGTAGTTTATCAAGAATCGATTTATAGTTATATCAAACGAAAGAGCAGATATTAGTGTGTAGTGATGTCACACTCATCCAGAATTGTCACTAAATCATGCTGCATGGGTACAATTTCATGGCCGATAGGATAATACGCAAGTACCAATATTTCATTATCACTGCACTTGCTTAGTTGAATTAATATTTAAAAAGAGACACCATTTTAAAAGTTGTTATAAACTAACAGTTAAAAAACTTTTACAAAAAATATTTAGACTGCTATAAATGCTATAAATAAAGGTATTATATTCATATAACATATTAACATATTTATATTCTAACAACAAAATTTAATAATAATGTACCTTTCTTGCTGAGAGTTCTTTTCTTCTAATTCTTTATTAAGCTGACTCAGTCCTTCAATTTTGGCAGAGAGCTCTTTAACTAAAAAATGAAAGGCATAATTATACAATCCCATCACAAACTACTCAACAATATCTTACTAGAAAAATACGCCTGAACAAAATATTTATCATTGATCATGTCAAATTCATACAGAAGGTACAAACAATTTAAATCAAATTAAACTCTGATACTATTCAATAGCAAAAATATACACACTTTTATTGATTTTATAATACTCTAAATTTTGTGTATATTTATTTTTACTTAAATTTAACAAACATTCTCTATTCGTAAAAAGCAAATTAAAGTTAATTAAGTTTTAAATGAAACTGAATTACAAATAAATGATTAATTATTGCTGCGAACTAATCTACAATATCATTTAAATTCTGAGAGAATATGTAAATCAAGTGCAAGTATCAAAATCTATAAATATATAATTCTAATAAATTTGTGCAAAAATTGCCCATATTTTTTATTTTTATTTATGCTAATGCTTTCTTATGTTAAATTTTATATGCATAAAAACAATTGCAGCTTATTCTTACAAGATTATCACCGACTTGATTTTTTTAAAAAAATTTTATAGACTTCCAGAGGTGTTTGTAGGACCCCAAAAAATCCCTTGAAACTTTTACGGACATACTACCGACATTTTGGAGTTTCGAGAAGGGGGGGGGCAGAGAAATGAAAAATTACAATTATGAAGTATTGAATGACCTAATTATAAAAGTTCAATGAATTACTTTTTTTGCAAAATTAATAACCATAAATTTTCAAACACATAAAGTACTACATTTTATGTAAATATTTTAAATTACCTGAATTAATTCTTTAAAAAAAATTATCTAATTTCTGCTCCTTTTTTTTTAATTTTCTGATGTTTGTGGGCTTGTCTTTCTTTTGTGGTGAACTTCATAATTGCAGGAAGGTTGACTTTTATTTTCCTCCTTTACAGTTGAAGAAATTTCCTCGAGAACTGCACATGCAGAGGTAGAAGCAGTTTGCTTTTCTGCTAATGTAGAAGGTTTTTCAGAGACTTTTATAAGTGACTCATCTGAAATAAATGTTTTTAAGTCCTCTTGATATGTTTTCCAACTTCTGTTCATATTCAATAAGAGATCTTTGTGAATTGGATCAGTCATTGGATTTTTTTAGCCATATTTTTCACATGAGGTTTCTTTAGAAGCCATTAAATCATATTTAATAGTCCGCACTGCATCTAGGGAATCAATCTTAAGAGAGGTTCTATAGTCAGTGACAAGTGTATCCATTAAGTTGAATGCACTTTCCACTAATGGGCCATGGAAGAAGCTAAGGCAGGCTTTGACCAATTTAGCCAATGTAGGATACTTATAATCATTTGTGAAATCATCTTTTAAATTAAAAACTTTAGACCAATATTTATCAATTGTACACTTGACTTGATTTCCACTTTCATCAGATGTGTAGAGCATTTCTTTGGTGATATCAATATCACTCTGGTATAACCTTATTTCAGCTTCTACTTTTGACTTTTCATTATCACTAAAAATATGGGACATAAAAGATGATAATTTTTCAAAAGCTAATACTATACTGGTTTTACCTCTTAGCTCTGGATCTAATGCTGTAAAACTAATTAGATATGAATTTTTAAGGGGTAATTTCTGTTTCATATGCTGTGCTGTATTAGTATAAGCTTTCATCAGAGAAATTTGGAATTCTTTTGCTATTGGATGATTTTTTGATAATTTCTTCAGGAGAGTGGAAGCTTCTGCACCAGTAAATATTACTTTGCTAGGTAGATGGAATTTTGGATTTGTGACATCAACCTTTAATAAATCATTATAAGATGTGCACTCTATATTTTCTGGCTTCATAAAAAAAGAGAAAAATTTTGCCATCAATTTATAAATACTGGAATGTATTAAATGAAGCATTGGTTTTTTTGTTTCAAATAATTTAATATATGTGTTGAACTCTGGTAATACTGCTGAATATAATGCCATATGCAATAAAGTTTTGTTTTGCATAACAAATAACCCATTAAGTATTTTTTTTCGAGCTAAAGCATCCTTTGTGAGTTGTTGGGAATGCAAGCAAGAATACACCCCTTCAACAATTTTTTTCTGAGCTGCAGAAATATCTCTTTTATTGTATACAGTTTCAACATAAGAAAAATAATCCCCTTTATCAGTTTTATCCAAGTAGTGAAAATAAAATGTAATAAGAGCATCCCACAGATCTTTGATTCTTTCTAAAACACATAAAATGTACACCCACCTATGGTCTGGTCTCTTCAAGGGCTTAAGTTTTTTAATGGCAAGGGATTCAAAGATTTTGAAAAAATTTTCTCTTTTACTGCAGCTTTTCATATCAAAATAGATGTCATCAAACAAATCTTCTAAGTATCTATCAAAACATGAAGCAAATTTTTTTGCACAGTTATTAGCTGTGTGACATGTGTCACCATCAATATCTAATAAGTGGGGTGCTTTGTTTGATCGTAGTCTGGTTTCAACACCCTTTTTTTTTTTCCACGCATGGTGTTACATGAGTCCATTAATACACTAATTAAGTCTGCCCATGGAATATTATTATCTTCAATAGTATTAACAAACTGCTTTAAAAACAGCTTCTGAATTGCAAGATTCCATCTTTAGAGATGCAAAATGATGAACTACAACTTCATTTTGATTGTTGTCATAAAACTGCACCAATATTGCCAGTATACTTTCTTTCTTGAGCATTGCTAGTACTTTCATCCAAATTTAGAGAAAATGGAGTCTCCTTTAAAGTTTTAATGATATTTTCCTTAATAGTTTTTGCGAGCCCATATTTCATCTTATAACATGCAGTAGTCCTGGACATTTCCAATGAGTTTAGTGCCGTCTGATCGCGGCTCAACTGTTTGCAGAGTTCAATTAAATTGGGAGCTACATTGAAAGAAAGAGAATTCTCGGCGGTAAACGAAGTTATTAATACCTCTTGGCGTGCTTTTCTTGTCACTATATCCAATGGCCGAGCTTCAGTCTCCAGTAAGTCATCAGTATTTTTTTAATTAGCATAATTACTTAAAGTCATTAAATGTCTAATGCACTTTGAATATTTTATGTGCATCACAGTTTTAGAATGATTTGTGAAAGCCTTGAATCCTTCCCCACCATACTTCAGCAGTGAGTTACAAAAAACACAATATGCTTGTCCAGCAATATTTATTTTCTTGCACCATGTGCCGATGGTATCCCCATTACCATCTCTCCGTTCAATCCAATTCCACCTAAATGCATTCCGTACACCTTCTTCTAATTGTATAATATCACTATTTATATCGAGAAATTTCATAGTGAAATTCTCTTGCGTACATAAATAAAAAAAATATTCAATAAACGAAACGAAAAATTTACACATGCATCAATAAATGAAACGAAAATTTTACACAGCGGGGGGAAAAAAATTGAGAAGCGATCAATGAAAAATAGCTAATACGGCGAAAAATCCTCCTTCTTTACTTATTGGCGCCACGCCAGGAGAGATAAGACCTTTGAACCCAGAGTCACGTGATCGCACATCTGGTCGAACGAAGTCTCTCCCTTTTTTTTCTGCCGCGCCTACTTGCCGAAAAGAATCCAGAAGAGAATGTCCGAGAACCGGGGGAATGAGTCATAACTCGCAATAAGGAAAGAACAAAAAAGAAGTTTTTTCCCCCCTTTTCACGCATTATCACTGCCTTTGGAGAAAGAAAGGAAAAGTTTTCACCACACACACTGACCTTGCGTTTTCTGCTTTCAAAGCAAACAAAATTACCCAGATCAAAATAAATAATTCATTATTATTCCTACTTCCTTTTGAACGACGATCCCCAAAATTTCCGGTCACCAACACGTGAGATGACCGTGCAAGTAGAAGTGTTGCCACGTCCGCATCAATAGTTACACTAGCATTGATTCAGTGCGATTTGCCAACTTGCAGGGATCCCGGGATAGAGAACCACTACATTATATTACACCATGCTGAAGCCTAATGGATTAACAGGTTTTGCGAGCAAAATCATTTTGCAATAAATAATAATTCTAACTAATATTATAAATGAGAATGAGAATTTGTTTGTTACGCTTTCACGCCTTAATTACTTAACCGATCATCCCGAAATTTTCAAGAAATATTTTTGATATATTAGAAAAGGTTATAGGCTATAAAATGTAATTTATCTGTTAAAACTTAAACTATATAATAGATTTTATAGCTTAAAATGATTGTCGTTGTATAAACATTAAATGTTGAAAGTTTCACAACGATAAGTTAAATTATGTAAAAGTTTGTCTCCACAGGCAAGTGCGTGGCTTAAACCCCACAAACATTTTATAGCCTATAAAACCTTTTCTAATGTATCAAAAAAATTTCTTAAGTAAATTACGGTTAAGCAGTTATTCATTTTTATTTGTTTAATTTAATTTATTATTTAAAATCCTTCAGGATTTCCGGCTTTTGGCTCTTCTTTCACAAACATTTTTCAGTCATTAGGAAATATACATGACAGTTTTACTAGATTTCATGGTGATACACTCCGCGTAAATACAAAATATCCCTGGCCTATAGGTATTGAAGAAGGGCAGTATTTACTGAAAATTTACATGGAGTGTATTTTTAAAATTCACGTGGAGTTGAAACTAATTTAAGGACATCAACGCGAGTGAAGCCGCGGGTAAAAGCTAGTAAGAGAATAAATATAAGTTAATAAAAATATACAGACTTCCCATTAAATACAAAAGGACAGAGGACTAAGTTAATGAGAAGCAGTAGCTGGTACGCTTGAGGATTTGGAAAAATACACATTATTTTTGTATATTTAAATTAATTTAATCAATTTAGTAAGTACTATCAACTTTTTAAATACTTTTATTAGTTTGTATTAGTTGTCACTTTCTATTTTAACCAGTTATTATCAATTTATAAATGATTAAAATTAGTTAACAATTTACAACTGGGACAGACAGAAGTAGAAATTAACCAATAATTTAAAAAATAACTATAAAATTCAAAGGGAAAATATTACTTTCTGTTTCTTTCTTTGAAGCTTCATTTTGGTCTCTGAAAAACAAATATAAAAATTGACATGAAATGCATAAAATGACATACTAGTTGCTGTATGAATGATGCTTTCATATTCATCTGACACTATTTACATTTTGTATACAATTAATATGCATAAGGTATATAAGCATAATATATTTATTTTAAATCATTTAAGGACACTTTGACAAAACATATTTAAAAAAGATTATGAAAAAATTAAATTAATGACAAATGTATATATAAAAGTTTTGATCAATGCATAAAAAGTAAAATTACTGAAGAAATAAATACACCCTACATTACACACTGGTAAACTAAAATGAATAATAGAGAAAGAAGAAAAAATATGATAGTATTATGATTTTATACTTAGTAATTCTATAAAACTCTTTGGGTCATGGATTCCCAACCCTTTTCTTGCATCATCCCGTTTTAAAGAAATGCTTTTCTTCATTGACCCTCCTTACATTTTTTGCTATTAATACACAGCATATTACACAATTCTAATACAACTAAATGCACATAACAACTAGGCTAGGAAAGAATAGGAGCAAAATTTTTGAAAAAAAAAATGGTTTATTAGATTAATGTTTTATAATTTTTTGTATTGTTTTTAATTTTAAAAATACGAATAAATTTTCAGAAAGAAAATAACAGATTTTAATTGCACAAAATTTTGTTTTAATTGATGCGATGGCTATGCCTGATGTAGTAATGCAATTTTTTTAATATCAAATGTTCAACCTGATTCTGTTGATTCTACTAAGAGAGAAAATTAAATAATGCTGATTCAATAACAACTCTTCTGAGGAAAAAGAAATCTCTTCAATAATGGACATCACGTCAAGTTACCAAAGTAATGGAATTCTTTTATAATTCTTGATATAAACTTGCGATTGATTACTTTTCTGTGTCAGCTTGTTCTGCACAACATTGAACATATATCAACCAAAAATAATTTATGTAAGCTCAAAGGGGTAATCTGCCCAGAAAGACTATTAATTTCATTTCGGCATTTTGAGCTGATTGGGCTTTGGGCTGTTGATCCTTTGATCATCACTAACACTCTTTAAAATTCAGGACAGGTCAATACCGAACCTGCAGAAAACTCCTAGTCTAAAAACTTTATATCCCTCTTATTTTGAATGCTTCCTCTTGTTACTTTAAGTGAAAGATTTATAAAATAATACATACTCATTAGAATATTTTCACCCTCTTCTTTATTTATAGATTGATTTATACTAATGATGCCATGAATTCAGTTTTCAGTGGTGGATTTACTATGATTTGCTAAAATGCCAGCATTCGCAATCTTGTATCCCCCTTCCTACCCTCAAAAAAACTTTGCCATGAAATAAAAATGGAATAATTTAAAAACATCATAAACAGTATATATGAATTAATAGTTATTACGTTTTGTAAAGAAAATATGTATTCCCCTCCGAGATACTAATTCAAATTTACTATTTACAATGTACTTCACTTTAAACCTAAGTACATATTTTGGAATTAATAATAAAAAAATGGGCTCATAAATTAGAAATTTATTAATGGAATTACTACTAACCAAAGAAAACAACAAATAACACACACACATATATATAAATATATAGGACGGTCATTTAAAAAAACTTCCTGATATATGAACCCCTAGTGGCCAATCTGCTCAACCAAACGAAATGATATTTCAGATATTGTTATTTAAAATAAAAGAGCTCTCACAGATATGGTTACAGTGAAAATATTTTGAAATTTTTTAATGGCAATACCCATTTTTTCCCGCTGCACAAATTGATAAGCATATTGAAAAACCATAAATACCTTTGGAATGATGCATGCATGTATGATACAAACTGCTGGCATCAGGGTTCGTACACATTTCTGCACATGGAAATTAAGTACTTTTAAGGACCATTAATGAAAAAAATTAAGGACCTGTGAGCAAATGGAAACTGAATAAATTCAATTAAAAATATTATATCTATGCCTGAACTTCACTTTTTAATACCTTCCTAAAAATAAAAAAGATTCGTAAGTAGGATGCATTATTATTAAGCATAGCTTAATTAACATAATTATTAATGCATTTGAGAATAAAATAAATATTATCAAATCTATCAAGTATCATTAAATATTTTACGCGTATAATAACTGGACATATTTGAAAGAAGATAAGTGACATTCTAGTTATGTTTTACTAGCAGCTTTTTTATTTTTTAATGTCTCATTTTGTCACATACTTGCTCAGTCTAGAGTTTTAGTTAATAGTAAGCAGATTTTATGTCAAGCAGCATAGGTTAAAATGAGCATTAAAATCATAATCAGCATGATTCATAACAAAAGACTGGCTGTTTTCACCGCTCCTGCTTGCCTAGAGAGAGACCTGCTGATCAGAACAAACCTGACAGCTGGACAGCTCAGATGATGAAATTTTTTCCCACTGAGAAGAGGCAATCTACGTTTTTTCCATGGCCAATGCAGTTCTTCATGAACTTTTTCATTTTGTTTTTTAGCGAAGCGTTCGGCACTTGCGTCTAAAACTATTACCAACGCCTTAGGGCACAATTTTGCCATGTTAACCAGTAAAAGTCTAACAGACTAAATGCCGATCATCACCATTATGTTCCACGTTTCCACAGTAGAAGAGAGAATTAAAAAGAAAGTATTTGCACAAAAAACGAAGCAACTTAAACAACTTACATTGAAAGAAATGTTTAATAATATAAACAAATAAATATTAAGCTCTTTTTTTTTTTTTTTTTTTTTTTTTTGTAAATTTTTATACCCTTTAGATCATAATTTCTCTTTACTTCATAAATTACGGTTTCATATTTTTAATTTTATAATTTCTGCATGCCATCTTACCAGATTTAAATTGATGATCTATAATCCGGAAAAACCCCTAATCCGGAATCGACGAAGTCTCGACGAGTCCGGATTACGGACTTTGTGCCGTATATATATATATGTTGTATGATCTTAAATTCACTTAGTGCAAAATTGAGTTATTCTACTACTTGTTCAACAGCTGCAAAGTAAGTTAATAATAATTTATTATCTCCTAAGATTAATTTTAGTAGAATTATCTAAAAAGAGTGAATCCACAGTTAGTAAGTTTAATTCCGAAAAAAGTTTTAAAGTAACTTGAATGTAAATTGTTAAAAATGTTTCACGGGGACTTGAATTAAATCATGAATAACAAAATTTCAATTGTAAAAAGAAATTAAGTTAAAAGAAAGTAATTAAACAGATTTTTAACAATTTACATTCAAGTTACTTTAAAACAATTTTCGAAATTAAACTTACTAACTGAGGATTCCCACTTTTTAGATAATTCTACTAAAATTAATCTTGGGAGATAATATAATCAATATTTCTTTAATAAATAAATTATTATGTGTGTGTGTGTGTAAGATAAAAAGCATATAAACCAAAATTCTAACTTTTTTAACTAGTTTGCATTGTCCATTAAATCTTCATTTAAATTTGGCAATTTTTCCTTCCTGTCATGAAAATAGTTAGTGCTCTCTACAGTACTCTGCAACCGGTATGCCATGAGTAGGATATAGGTGTGCCGCAATCAAATACATGTATTTGACATTTTGCAATTTTTTATCATGTATTTAATACACAATGACAATTTTTTCCTTAATGATATCTATTTTAAATGTTTTTATATATTTCACTGTTGTGTGGTTGTGTGTGTGATTGTAAGCGTGTCAGTATTTGAATTTTTTCGGCACTTCCTTGATAACTCGGAACTCTTTGGTGTGCCACGAAATTCCAGAAAGATTTTTTGTGCGTCGCAGGTGAAAAAAGGTTGCGGAGCACTGCTCTACACTATATGATTCCAAAATTAGTTCAAGTCGCATGATTCTTAAACACTATCATGACACTTCAAGAAGTACGATTTCAAATAAAACTGAAAAGATTTTCCGACAGCTAATAGGAAAATTTGGCCAGCTTAACTCAAATCACATTGAACCCAATTTTGATCTTACACACATCATGTTTGCCCCCTGCTTCTCTTGCCAGTCAGCTGCTGCTTCTTTTTTTCTTAAAAGATGCAAAAGTTCTAGAACAGGCACTTACTGTATCTTTTACCTATATTGCCTAAAAGAAATGTCTGTCAACAAGAATAACAGGGAATATTGAAATAAACCATAACTGCAAGCTTCTTTATCCATCATTTATCATCATTAACAGTTCTGCATGTTACTTCCAAATTTAAACTAGTCATCAGTATCCATGTTATTCCTATAGATTTGAAGATTAAACTGAGATCTGCTAATTACTTATATTACCCTTTGAAATTTAGTCAGTAGTATTTACATAAATATAAAATGTGCTATTACATTTTTCCCAATATCTAACCTATGCTAGTATGTCATATCAAAAAACAGTGAAGGGAAATAAAGAAAATCAACATCTCATAGCCTTGTTGTGTCATTCTAGTGCTTCAAAATTCAATGCCTACATCATATATATGTGTTTGTGTGTGTGCATATTATTGGAGACTTCCATAATTTTTCTAGCACTTTTTACATTTTTTTAAACTACTAAATTAGAATAGATTAATTCATGTAGGGGATAGTTGCATGGTATGCAGCGGGTACGAGAAACACCCGAGGTAAGCACATGCGCAGTAGCCAGTGAGCTGAATATGAGTAAATACTGTGCACAGGCTCTTACGATCAGAGGGGCTATAACCATCCAAACATGTACAAGGTCTAAAACCAGATGACTTTCAGAAATGCATAGACTTTTGCAAATGGCTGTTGCAGCAACATAACATAGATAATGGTTTTATTACACATACTATCTTGCGGACTGATGAAACATGTTTCACTCATGATGGGGTATTTATTCAATCATCACAACAGACATATGTGGTCAATTCACATGCAATCTGGCAGCAGAAACATTAGGAACGCTGGTCTGTAAATATGTGGGAAGGTTACTCGGGGATTGCCTGCTTGGCCCTTATCTGCTGCCTGAACGACTCTCAGGACAGTCCTAACTTGGTATTTCTCCACATCTTTACTCAGTTCTTCAATGACATACCCTTAGCGGCAATACATGGCCTTTGGTTCCAGCATAATGTGGCTCCTGCGCATTTCTGTGCTCATGTATGTAATTAGCTAGATATAGCATACCCCAGCCGCTGGATCGGAGGTGGGGTCCAGTTCTTTGGTTGCTACGATCGGCAGATCTCACACTGCTAATTTTTTTTTCCTATGAGGCCATCTCAAGGAATTAGTATATCGAGACATAGTGACTACACAAATGGACTTAGTTGCTCATCTGCATGCTGCCTGTACTACGAAGTACATTGCACTGCTGCACTCCTGAATTCTATTGAGGCCTCAAGCCTGCCTTAATATGCACGGCGGACACTTTGAACATCTTCCTTTATAAATACCGCTGTTGAGTGTCAAACAAAGTGTTTTTTTCGTTGCACCGGCAGTGACGTATTTTTCTCGTAAAGTATGGATCGCACAGGTATAATTATTTGGCCATTTTTTATGATCTCTTAAAGAGGGATCTGGCTGTGCAGAGTTTAGGTGCTATTTATGGGACACTTTATATGTATAAAAACAGGTTAACTGTACATATAACCCTGTTATGTCTAAAATTTGCTCATTCCAACATTACCAGCAAAAAATTTAAGTTGCTTATTAACAAAATGATGGGGGAGATATTTGCTTCCATTAAAACAATTTTTTTATATCAATTTCTTTAAACTATCCAACTAACAACACCCATAAAGTTATGGTGCTCAAATTATACACTAACCACGAACATAAACATAAATATAATGAAAAAACCTCAACAAAATTTACCAAAAAATTATAAACTTATTAAAATCAGGCAAATGAAAAGTACATACTGAGTAGAAATTCTATTTATCTCCAAAGAATTTGAAATGTTGCTCACTTCATTCTGAATACCTCCAGTCTGAAAATTAAAAAGTCCATGAACTAGCTCCTAAACCCATAAAGAAGATAAGACAAAATACTTTAATTATTACACATCAAAATTTGCAGTAGGTTCCTAAAAATAATTGAGTATTATTTGACTACCAAATTATGTGCACATCCTCTTTAAAGAGGCCACATTCAAGCCTTTGCAACATCACTTAGGCCTTTTTACAAATTACAAACAAAATTATACAAAATATATTACATTTAAGTTTGCCGATTAAACATGGTGGCCACTTTAACAGGGAAATATGAAATTATTGTCATCTCAGAAGGTAAATAATATAATATAAAAACGATCAATTGCTAACAACCAACAATTTCATGACACATATAATGCAGTTTTATATTTTTAAACTTTTTTCTTGGCTCTACTCTTATATCACCCCTAAGATCAACAAATGTGGCGATATGTATTCTGCGCTGGTTTTTGGCACGATTTCGTGCTGTGGGATGGTTGGTGAACGATGCTGTTTGTATGGCAACCCTTTTGACATTGAAACTTAACTCTTTTGCTGCAGTGTCGTGCGTGTTTTGAAATGGCCTATGTTGCAATGATAGACGTGGTGGGAAGATTTCAGTCGTGTATTTTAGATTGTGTGGAAAGTAAATTTAGTATTAAAACGTACGATGTTGGAGTTGTTAACGAGTCTTTTGTTCACGAGTGTGTTTACGAGAATTGAAGTGTATTTTTGGAATTTTTGTGGTACTTTTAAAACAGAGTGCAAAATGTGGAACTGCTATGAGAACTCAGACGAAGATGGGCGTTTCTGATAGTTCTTGTGTGGATTTGCAGTCAAATGCTGGCTGGTAAAGTATGTGGCTTTGGACTGCGGTATTCATGTGGTAAGTTAACTTTGCAGGAAGTTTGTGTCGTTACTTTTGAAATTTTGAATTGCAGAAAGACGTGATATAGCAAAATGGTGGCACTTTTGTTCACAGATGTTGTGTGACTGGCAAAATTTTATTAACGAATGCATTATGGCAAGTGCATTTTATTTTACTTTTTTTTTTAATGTTATGTTCATTGTTTTTTTTACTATGAATTTCTGTTCTTATGATTGTTTTTGAATTGTTTGTAATTTTAGTTATTTTAGTTTATTTTGTTGATTTGTGAGTAATGCCTAGATTGTTCAATTCGTAAATATTTTTTTAAGTTTAAACAGGATGCTGTGTACATGGTATTCTTTGAAATTTATTGTTGTTATGTTAATTTATTAAAGCAAGGCATGCATAGTTTGTTCTTTGTCTAGATTGTGCAATTCGTAGATGTTTTTAGTTAAAACATATCACTGTGTACATGTACTTTTAACAAATATTTTTGGTTAGAATCGTTTACGTTTTTGCTATTTAATTTTTTTTTTTTTTCCCTTCTTATTTGGATTTTTAGCTTAAATTGTGTGTTTAAAACGTTGCTTTTGCATATGCGAAAACCACGTTTTTGGAGACATTTTATGCTTTAAGTTTGAAATGTAGACATTAAATTTAGATAGTAATATGGCACAGTGGAGTTTCTCGCCAAAAATGTTTGGCGAGAAATTTGTCACTCCATTTGGCGTCTTGAGAGTGCATATAAGAGTAGTTCCTTTTCCTTTTCTTTGGGGCACTCTGATCATCGGCCCAACCCTGACAAGAACCACCAGGCAAAGCGCTATGTTGCCAAAGTTAAGCAACTTTACAAAACAATTTTACAAAAATACAAACAATACACAATACAAAACAATTTTACAAAAATGTATTTATCTAGCAACCCATTAATGGCTGCAGATTATGCTCTGGTGTTAGGCGTGCATTTTGAAATGCCAGAGTTATGTTTGTGAAGTCTGACTGTTGTGATTAGTGTGGAGTCCCCCCCCCGTAAGGAATTGTAATGCCACTGTGGAATTTACCTGATAGTGAAAAAAAAGATTGATTTTCCTTTGGAAATATGGTGTTTTGCCTAATAGTAGAGTGTAGAAATGTACATTCTATAAAGTTAATTTTTGGAATTTTCTGATATGCTTTAATTTCTTTAAATCAAAACAGGTTGATGTGCATATGGAGGGCAATACCAAGTTGTACTGTGATGTTGAGAATTCAGTAATTCTCTGATTTTATCTACGTTAAAACCGATTGCTATGCACATGGGCATTAAAACAAACACTGCTGGACTGGGGGAAAAAAAGAATATTAAGTATTCTATTATGGATTCTCATTGCATTTTTTAATTTAGTTAATTCGTTGTTGTCATATGCTATTTTGATTGTTCATTATGTCTGCTTTTGCATTTCATTAATCCATTGATACTTCATGTAATTTTCAGTGCTCTGCCATTTTTTTAAAATGGCTGCTATTTTTCATGTGTTAAGATTGACACGATTAGATTGTTACATACATAGTACTTGTGTGCTCAGCCAAAGTTAAATAACATAACCTAACTATTGAGATTTTGCTAAAGCTACAGATTCAATAAGTTTAGAAAAGCAATTTCATGAAAACTTCTCAAATCTTGAACACCTTATTGAAGCCTCCTCAGTACATTTTCCTACCTGTTTAGTGTGAATAATGAGAACACATAAAAGATTCTAGTATCAAAAACTGCAGCAGGTCAGCCTGTCAGCAGAGTGAAAATGGTAACTACTTCAAGACAGAAGAGAAACACACCAAAGTAAAACATAAAATTAGGCAAAAACCACAACATAATGTTTCGCATAGATTTTAGTCAAGACTATCGATTACGAGAGCACACAGGTACAGACAAATGGCACTACCTTCTCATTCACTTTACTCCTTTTGAGTATAAATACAACCGTGACCTTCAATTTGTTGCAGATTTCTTTGCTGCTGATGAAGAGGAATCTGTACATGTTTTCCCTCAGAGTAAAATCTATGCCAAACACAAGATTGCTGCTTTGCCTAATTTTACGGAAACAATGTGTTTGGGGTCATACACATGGCCCCTCAACTTTCGTACAAATTTGGTTTCTAAAAGTGCATGCAAATGTTGAAATGTCTGAAAGTAGAGGAATGGGTTGATCTTTACTGTAAGGTATCCCTTAGTTTCTGTCTGAAAAAAAAATCACCATGTGATAATGGTTGTTCTTGAAATCTGGAAGCTCGCTGCATGATATAGGTTTTTTGGTAACTCTAATGTTGATAATGTTGGCGAAATTAGCCTTATGGACTTTTTTTTCATTAAAAAGTGGTTATTTCTGCAAATTTCACCAAACATGTTTTGATAAATTTAGATTTTGGCTATTTTTTTGTAATAGTAACCCTTTCGTATGGACCCAGGGTTTTGATTCTAATCATTCTTTTCAATTGCTGCGCTTGGTTACACATGTGTGGTATGGTCTTCGATTTTGAAATTGCTATTTTCTTGCTGTGGGTACCATCATTTGAGTATGTCTGAGATGACTAAGAGGATGAATACTGATGAGTTGGATTATGATGAAATTGTGAATTTGAGGTTTTTGTTTGGGTTGGACGACAGACGAAAGACATTTTGCATGAAAGATGGTATAATTGCTGATAGATATGAATGAGTCTAAACGAAGAAAAATTGAATTGAATTGCTTACCTGAAGGATGGAGGAGATGATGGTGGGAAGCCTAAACGTATTGGGTAAAACTGCATATTACGGTCCAGTGTGGCATGTTTTCAAAAAATCGTCAAATCGATTGTTTTTGCGCGTTTTAGAAAATTGCTAACTCATCATATTGCCATATTAGATGGTTGCAAATTTTAATTATTTCTGTAAACATGCAAAAAATCAGATCATGTAAACATGCAAAAATATCTAAAACTGTAGTTCAAGAAAAACAACGAAAAAGTATTTGAAAGTTAATAACTATGTATTTTATAGGATCAACAATATTAAAAGTTTTCATAATATCATATACCATTTTTAAGACAGTAGCAAAATAGAGTAAAACGTTTTATCACGAAATTTAAGAAAGTGTAATAAGCAGTAAATGAGCAATAAATTATCGGAAAGTATTGATTCGTATTTAAGCTGGAACTTTAATGCAGAAGAAAAAGGAAGATAAAACTCAAAATTTCCATCGACTGAAACATGAGCAATAGTATAGTAAAAAAACAAAAAGCGGTTTTATTGTTATTAAATGGTTATAATAAACAGTAGAAACCCGCATTTGCTTATATCTAAACTAAATATTACAAAATGTTAACACTACAATGGAGATGAAATTAAAAATGGCGCGCTCATTTCAACCACCTGCTTAACACACATATAATGTAATTACATATAATAAGAATTGCTTTTATTGTTATTTATATTTAAATTAAAATCTCTATTAATCAATTCATAAATTTTAACAAATCTATAAAAAAAATTACAAAAACGAATCTAACCTTGTCATTCATTCACCTTTTGATTGTGGCAATTAAAGAGTCTTAATTCCCCTCAGAAACTGCAAAAAGGGATCACTCGCAGATAAATGCGAATATTTTCTCCGCCACATGTACTCGGCCAGGTACGAATCAAATTCATCTTTTACCTGCCGAGTACCCTTCAAACTTCTTTTTATGGCACTCCTTGTGCTCTCAATTTAATTGGTATGAGCACCTGTCTCAGGATCCTTAAAAACGAGACTGTGATTAACACGAAAGTGCACAAAACCCTCATCACTGAGGCAAGCATACAATTTCCAGCAGTCCAAAATAATAATGGATTCCGCCAAAATATTTTCTTTAATAATTCTTAACAGACATTCTTTCGTTCACTCTTCAAGCACACGAGAAAAACATTTATCCGTTCCCCTTTCAATACCTCCAAACACCCATTTACCTTCCATGTGCTTTCCAGGATTGTATTTTCTTTTACCAATTTCGTCAATTTCAACCACACTTCCGAGCTCTCCGTGTACGTCATTCTCTCCCAAGCACATCTCCACACACACCTCTCTACAAAGCATCTTCCAGTCTACTGCAGTGTGGTTACTCACATGCAACTCATCCATTATAAACTGATTCGTACATTTCTGACCCCACAAATATGTTAATTGAAGGATCAGACTCAGAGGTATTCGTCCCTCGGAAAACCAAGAGCCCTTTCTCACACTCATTTTGAAATCATTCTTGGAAGGACCGAACACACGACACCTCCATTCACACACATCTTTCCTTTCAACTAATTTCATACTATTTTTACATTTAGGACATTCACATATTCCCAATCAAGTCATAATCCATGCACCATTCTATCACATGCCTTCTGCCTTTATCTTGCACGAGAAGCACAGTGAAATAACGAAAATTCAAAAAGGCCGCTTAAATACTATAAACTGTAACCTTAAACCCTAACAATTTTCATGATGCCAAGAGGTTACCAGATTTGGCGCGATTTTGCTTCATTTGGCGGCTGGACCGTAATCCACAGTTTAGCTAAAAATTGACGTTTCATTTATTTATTCGTCTGTGTGTGTTAATTTTTCTCAAAAGATTTGTTGTTTAATGTTTTTTTGTTAGGAAATATATATTTTTGGTTATTTATTCCTCTCTGTTTATGTGTTTTTGAATATTTGCTCTCCCTGTGCGTTAAGCTGCGAATTTTTTCTGGTTACCATGATAATTTTAACTTTGTTTTAGCTTCCTCTATATGGACAAAGTTAGGACGGGCGCAATGCCCAGTTTGTGCAATTCTCTCTCTTGTTTTTTTAAAGTTAAAATAGGGGCTAATCTTTGGAATATGGTAACAGGTAGTTTAGTTTGTCGACATTTTGGTAAGGCGATAAAGGTTACTAGCTAGGACTTTAGCAGTGTACATGGATAAAGTCAAGAGTGTGCGCAATGCCAAGAGTGTGCCAAAATAGGTCGGCGTGTACATAGATACCATATATGTGCAATTCTTAAAAACATGGCAAGCAGTTTTGCGATTTTGCACTTTCTCCCAATTTCGCACCTAATTATGATTAAGCACTTTTGTTCCATAAAAGTTCTAGCATAAGCGTGGTTGCTGTAGCAGGGTTGGTCACCAAATTTTCGCCAAAAAATCGCCGAGTTACCATAATCCAAAGATTAACCAAAATAAGTTGATGTCTACATAGATACCAAGTTCGTTAAGTGATTGACTTCTTTTTGGTTTTGTCTAGCGGCCACCTTGAGATTGGTGCCGATCCTTCCTGGCGCAGATCTTGGTGTCAAAAAAGAAATGATTCGCCAAGGGGTCCCATAGAGTAAATTTTTACCGAATAACATATAAGCATGTTATTCATAAAATTTATTTAAAAAAATTACTTCCAACAAGTGCTTCACTTATTGAAGCATTTTGAAAGAATAAATCGTTGTATTCAATGTTTTGGTTTTCTCAAAAGAAAAGGAGGAAATTTAAAAGGTAATAACAAACAATAATACACAAATTTAATAACAAACAATTATACACAAATTACAAATACACAAATTTAATAACAAACAATTATACACAAATTTAATAACAAACAATTATTCTGATACATGTAAATATCTTTGATGGTGAAATTTCTATCAAAATACCTCAATGCTTAAAATTATTAAAAAGTTTCCCATTTTATCAGATATCAATCATTTTTTTAAAATTAATTTATATCCGAAGGAAAAAACAAAATACTCAGTGCAATTTTATTTAATAATGCATTAATATATTAAAAAACATATTTTCTATATCCTACACAGTTTTAAATCATCAAACTGTATCAACTATAATATATAAATTAATGAAAGAAAATTTTAACTTACGTAGGTAGCTTTCATATTTTCAACAGCTAAGGTGTCGTCTTTGAAATGTAAGAGTTCACTGAAAAAGTCGACACCATCATTTACATTGCCATGGGAAACAACTTCAGGAACGGCGGGTATCTGCTCAACATTAAAGCTTGCAGTAGCGCTCGTGTTGTCAGGATCCATGTCGGAAATCAAAATGAAAATTCGCCGGGTCCAAACTAATCAAATTGCAAACAAAAATCGCATAAACAGTCATTATTACACATTTTCAAATCCAGCTGAAAGTTCAGTTTAACAAATACACGACCTAACATTTTATTAACATATAAAAAAACAATGCAATGAATTACTATATCTTCATTTCTAATACATAACAAATCAATCGGCGCCAAAGACAATGAGCATGCGAGAAAAATATACACAATATTACTGTTGCCAGTTTTATGAACCATAATGTACCTATAATCAAGGAGGCTTTGTAAGTAGAGTGCGCTCTGTTACGTTGCAAGGCCAAAGTTGGCATTGACAAGGGTGCACACAAAATTTGTGTATCTGCTAGATATTTTAGTAGATACATGATATAGCAACATACATCTAACTACATGATTATAAAAAAATGAAATCTGTCCCTCAAAAATCCCAAATAATGTATGATGTGTATACTAATCTATATAGCAGCTATACAGATTTTGTTTGCAATCTGCTTCTTGTTGAACTGCGGTGCTTAACCACCAGGGTGCCTGGGCGCCATAGCCCTACCCCTCATCGAATAACATGATAAAAGTTTCGAATTATGAGAAATGTAACTGAATGTGCTAAATAATTAAATGAGCAAGAGTTTAAATTCATAATTGCTAATAGTTAAATACAATTTTTCCTTAAGTACCTAATTACTAATCCATACATAATTAACTATTTTTTAACAACTATTTCACAGAAGAATACATGTACACACAAGAGAAACAAAATACGAAGTGCGACGCCTTAGTGCCACTAGTAAAAACAAAAAGCAATCAGGAGGAAAAAAGAACAATATACAATAAAGAATCTGAGCAACAATTTGCATAAAACATATACAAAATTACACATTACTAACATTTAGGATCGCCCTTGGGCGCCGTTACTGAAATTGGGGTCCCTAGTATCATAACAATAGTTAACAACCACAGGATTGTCCAGAAGTTCCTGTTTATCATAAAATGCCCTAGATAGGCGGCAATAAAAAAATCACAAAAGATCCTCTATTCTTAACTCTTTACGAATTTGGCTATTCCGAATGTACCAGGGGGCATTACATATCATACGCAATACCCCGTTTTGGGCAGCTTGTAACTGCCTTCTCAAACTTTTGCACGAGTATGCCCAGACGGGGCATGCATAACTAAGAATTGGACGCAACATGGTTTTGTAAATGAGCAACTTATTATCAATAGATAGAACACTGTTTCGAGCAATTAAGGGGAAGAGTGAAGCTTTACTAGCTCGAAACTTCCTGAGAATATGTGTAACGTGTGGGTTCCATGTAAGAGATTTACTGAGGATCACCCCAAGATAAGGGACCTGCTTGACCCAGGGAATGTCCACACCATACATTTGCAGGTGAGTCGGGAAATTCTTCTTAGTAGTAAACAGTATGGCATGTGTCTTGTCGACATTCACTTTGACTTTCCATTTGGTCAGCCAAGTCTCTAGCGAGTGGATGTGGTGTTGTAGCTGTTGTATTGCTGAACTAACAAATGCACTTTGCGTAAGGATCGCTGTGTCGTCTGCATACATGGCTAGTGTTGTGTTGTGTGTAGTGGGGATGTCGTTCACGTAAAATATTGAATAGGGTAGGGCCCAGAAGGGATCCCTGTGGAACACCAGCCCGTATAGGCCGGTTTGTGGATAATGAACCAGAAACATGAACGACAAAGTGTCTACCGGTTAGGTAGGATTTAATTATGTTTGTGATGTAGCCTGGGAGTCCCAGGTTGTGTAATTTGTATATGAGGGCATCCAGCCATACTCTATCGAAGGCTTTGGCGACATCTAAGAAAAGTCCACCAGTGACACGATGTTGTTGCATCCCACTGCTTATTAACTCAACAACTCTGTAGAGTTGATGCGTTGTCGAGTGCTTACGCCTGAACCCAAACTGATAGGGTATGAGGATCTTCTGCTCATCCAGGAAGATGTTTAGTCTATGTAGAATAACTGCTTCCACGATTTTGCTAATTGAGCTTAGCAAACTGATTGGTCGGTAACTCTCAGGAGCAGTCGCAGGCTTGTTGGGCTTTAGCAGAGGGACAATCTTGGCAGTTTTCCAACAAGTTGGGAAGTATTGCCATCGTAGTATGATATTCACTAACTTGGTGAAGTAGAGTATTATCTTGACAGGGAAGTGCTTGATCATCTCATTTGTGACACCGTCTACTCCAGGGCTCTTCCTTTTCGCAATTCGCATGATATAGAGACAGACCTCCGATGGCATGGCTGAGATAATGTTGTCTGTGCATGGCTGTGTTGTAAAATTGGAGTGGAAGTCAGCAATAAGCTGTTCAGTGTCTGAGTCTGAGCAATCTGAGTTGTTTGCAATCTGCAGCGCAACCGATGGTCTTCACCAGATGCAGAGTAAAAGGAAACACTGCTTTCTGAAACTCTAATTTAATATATGTTCTTAATCGTAACTGAAAGCCCTCTGCTTACTAATACAAATATTAAGTTATAGCTGATTTATAGCTAGAAGCGCGACATTCGTGGAAGATCGTCATTTAAATTGAAGCATCTGAAAGCAGCACTTTCGCTTTCTTCACATCTGATGGGAGAATCTGGGAAGGACAGGAGAGGGCCGTTCGACTGGTTTCAGTGGCGGGAAAGTAGAACCGCTGGTTTCGCCGATCATATCATGGATAAGGCTCCTATATACCCAACGACTTCATATAACATATGAGTATAACTTATTCATATCTTATTTATTTTAGTCTGCTAACGAAACTGAAACATCTAAAGAATAAGTTATTTTGAATATGTTTACAAAATATACGCGAAATTTTTATTTAAGTGAAAACGTCTATATACTATTCGAGAATTAATAAATTATCCGAAAAGTTTATATGCGCTGAATGCCGCGCGTCTATAAAATAAATCTTTAAAAAAAAACAGCAGACATTCAGCCAGCGTGTGCGATAAACGCGCCAAAATTGGCAGCGCGTTCCCTTACTCGCTAAGAGAGAAAAGTTGGTGATTCAGCCTGGTTTAGAGGAG